GGATCCAGACCGGATATCACCCACCCGACAAATCATTGTTCGGTTGGTACGTAACCACATGACCCATAGGGTGGATTATCGATTCTTGTGTTCTGCATTAAACTATTTATAGTTTAAGGGCCTGGTTAGAAATGTTGCCTTAGACTAGGAATAGCTAAGAGCTTGTTATAAAATGATTTGGCCTTAGATTAAGAATAATTTAAGAGCATGGTTGAGATATTGAGTATCGAATGACTTGGAATAAAATATTGAGAATATCATGAATGTTTGAATCATATATTGTGTGCATGATATCAAATGGTTGATTATGAATTGAGATTCAATTTATTTGGATGTTCGACGCTTTAGATATGCTTACTCAGCTTCATCGCTGAGCGTGTAGTATGTTTTATTTGCTACACGCAGGTAGACAGAATGAGTGAATGACATGTTCTTGGCAGCAGAAGGGGCGAGACAGTCGTGGTGGATCATTGAACAAAATAAATAATTATGTTGTTATGAGACATGTTTGAAAGTCGCTTCCGAATTATTATTATTAACACTCCGTATTTTCTACAATTATGTATGGAATATTATTATTTATAAATAAAAATGTTTGAAATGTTTTAAATTTTTACGATTACCAAGTTAATACTTTAGTCCGAAAGGGGCTGCAGACCTGGACGGATTAGGGTGTTACAAGTACACACCCAAGTCCCTGTGTGATGCGTCACTGAAGATTGTGTATTCAATACCAGGTGTCGGTTGAATTAACACAGGTGCTTGAGTCAAACATTCTTTCAACTATTCGAAGGTTTTCTGACAAGCTTCTGTCCAAACAAATTTGACATCCTTCTTCATCAATTTATGAAGTGGTGAAGCAATTCGATAGAAATCCTTCACGAAGCGACGATAATAACCAGCGAGTCCAAGAAAACTTCGTACCTCATGTGTATTGCGTAGAGTTTTCCATTTAGTGATTGCTGAAATTTTGCATGGGTCAACTTTGACTCCTTCAGCGGAAATCACGTGACCGAGAAAAGTGTCCTCATTCAGCCAAAATTCACATTTAGAAAGTTGGCATAAAGCTTATGCTCTCTCAGAATACTCAACACGATGCACAAATGCTCAGCATGATCCTCTGGTGCTTTTGAGTACACCAAATTATCGTCGATGAAGACCACAACGAATTGGTCCAAATATTGTCTAAAGACGTTATTCATGAGATCCATGAATACAGCAGGTGCGTTCGTTAAGCCAAAGGGCATAACGGTAAATTCATAATGCCCGTAACGTGTATGGAATGCTGTCTTTGGAATGTCTTTTGATTTAACAGGAATCTGATGGTAACCTGATCGGAGATCGATCTTTGAGAATACGGTTGCACCTCGTAATTGATCAAACAGATCATCAATACGGGGTAATGGATAACGGTTCTTGATCGTCACTTTGTTGAGCTAACGATAGTCGATGCATAATCTCATCGATCCATCTTTCTTACGGACAAAGAGAACAGGTGTTCCCCACGGGGAAATACTAGGACGAATGAAGCCTTTATCTAACAACTCCTGTAGTTGAGCTTTCAACTCCTTCATTTCTGCAGGGGCCATTCGATAAGGTGATGTTGAGATGGGTCCTGTACTAGGTACAAGATCACTAGAGAATTCTACTTCCCTTGGGGGAGGTAGACCAAGAACTTCTTCAGGAAATACGTTGGGAAAATAATAAAACACAGTTATGTCCTTATGCTTAGGTGTTTCCTTATGCATATCCTTAATGGTGCACAAGAATGCTTCGCATTTCCTACGAATGAGCCGTTTTGCTTGCATATAAGAGATGAATTCTGGGGTTTTTGGCAGAAGTTCACCCCGAATGATCACTTTGTTACCGTCATCTGTACGAAGTTTCACCACCCGTTCTTTGCACTCAACAATAGCCTGGTGTTTTGTTAACCAGTCCACCCGTTCTTTTGCACTCAACGAAGTTTCACAACCCGTTCTCGGCTAAGAATACCTTTCCTTGAGCCATCAACAGACACTGATTATAAACATGTTGGAGACATAGACTATGTCCTAGCGGGTTCGATACAACTACTGGATGCTCAAGAGTTTCCTTAATGACGTCAGACTTAACAGGCATGGGCACACATATGTATGATAAGGTAGATCTAGGGTCAATTAATGCAGATACAGTGATATCAAATAAAGTGAACATACCCATGATGACATCATTAGCCTGCGGATCTGTACGCCCTTGCATGGCATATGTTCGAGCTGGTGCTCGTCCTTGCTGCTGACTGGATGCTGGCCTCTTCGGCTGATTAGACGTAGCCGTGGAATGATGACTCTGGGCAGGCTCGGTTCATCGAACAGTAGGAGCAGTCGGCGTGCCTGGTGCCATGGAGAAGACCTCACCTGGGTTCGTCGGGCAGTCCTTCCAAAAGTGACCTGCCTGACCACATCCAAGGCAAAGACCTAGTGTGAACCAACACTCACCAAGATGTCTGCGACCACAGAGTGAAAATACGGGATTACGACATGTCACTTTCTCTTTCCCACTCTTACTAGTGACAACAACAGATGTAGAGGGAACAGATTTTGCTCGCTTATCATGATGAGAGCTATTTGGTGTGGAGAAGCTTCTTTTGTAATTAGGCCCCATCTTTGGACCCGACTGGACGGTCTGGTTTTCTGCCAACAATGCTTTCTAATAAGCCGCTTTCCGTATGAGCTCCTCATTCTGATCAAGTGCTTTCTTGTAAAAATCGTTAATCTCATCTCGGGGAACTAATATGAGTGATGCCGAAAGATCCGGTATCATCCCCTTGATGAACCTCTTGCAGCGCTTCTCCATGGTGTTGACCAAGTCTTTACCAAACTCGGCCAACCCGTCAAACTGTTGACGGTACTCTAGGAGAGTTAGTTTCTCATGAGTAAATTTGGAGAGTTCTTCATATTTGGCCTTGACGTAATGATCGGGCACATACTCTGCTCTGAAAAGTGGATCGAAGTTAGCCCATGGTACTGGCACGGGAATGTTGATTCCTATTCGCTTCCACCAATCATAGGCGGCATCCTGCAATAATGATATGGCGTGCTGTCCCCAATCGTCGAGAGGTACCTTCAAATTTTCAAGTACTCTCACAGTGCGTTCTTACCAACGCTTGGCTATTAGGGGATTCGCTATCTGGTCGCCGCATAATTCCTATGCCCCATTCCTCTTGAGTTTCTCAATCGAGATGATGGGTGCAGGAGGTGGTGGTGGAGGTACATGTGCTCCAGCCATCTGCTGAAAGAACTAAAACATGTTCGCAACCATTTGTGGCTGGAACATCGGGATGGCCATATTCGGGTTCTGACCCGCGAACTGCTCTAGAACTTGCTGAGGTTCCGCAAGAGGGTGTTGTTGCTGAGGTACGTAGCTGGATGCTTCGGTGTGCATAGTATGCACACTAACATGCTCAAGTTCCTCGTGATGATTTGCCTGATTGTGAGTCGAGTCTTGACTCATTCTATAATTAATTGAGAATGTAATTAGTCATAAATAAACTAATTGTTTACCTTCCCAGGTAGAGATGTGGAGAGATGCAGACTTGTGTTTGAAATTCTTTTCATTTGATTTCAAAAATCATTTTTTTAAACCAAATGCTCCGATACATAAATGTAACACCCCAACTCGAATAACCCGATTACCTAGATTATTTGAGCCGGAGTAGTTACCATGATGGTACTTACGGATGATAATTTGATGAATAATTTAAAACCAATTAAACTTTAATATAAATGATAAATTCAAATATTAAACTTCGGAGTAATGTGTAAAACAGTGCAGAAGCTGAATTGAGAAAATAAAGTCAAGTCATATTACATTTTCTAGAAACTCGCCCGAAAAGGTATTTATTTAAATAAAACATAGAAATTGTGGTCCACGAGTCCATGCATCTCGTCACTCTCATTAACCTCCGGGATGGGCTCCATGATCTGTATTGTTACCTGCGTGTAGCAAGTAAAACAAACTACACGCTCAGCGTCAGTTGAGGAATACGCTAATACAACAATTCCAAGTTGAATAGCAAGTAAACATATGATTATTCATGATATGGCATACTATAGCATATATGCTCAAGATGATGATGATATGTAATTTATGTCATACATAGTCATTATGATTGTTCTTGATGATGATTTCATGCTGTATGATTCTAATGTGCAAGGACGACCCTTGCGCTATGAGATTCGCTCATTTGATACGACGAACTCACGCCACCTTAGTCTCACTGGTGAGACTAGAAAAATGGGGGTGGTACTCGAAAGCCTGAATACCATGTACGTACACCAAGCCCAAACGTGTGATGTCGGACTAGTAAGTCCCGCACAATCACGCTATAAGAGACGCACGAGGCATGATCTCTTACACATGCATATGATGTGATATACTTCAATATGGATGATGAAATGAATCATATGATATGAACAATTTGTAAACAACATGAATATGTATTCATACATTAATTTGTTTGGGTGAAACATGATTAAAAATATCATTTAAATAAGCTACGAGGCACGGAACGGTCGACCGTTTGGCACGGCAGTCGACCGTGATCTTCATTTCGTCGGATTGCAAGATTACCGTGACGGTCGACTGTTGTTGACTGGCTGGATGTGGCGGCCCTCGGCTGGACAGGCGGCGGTCGACCGTTTGTCTGGCAGTCATGGTCCGTTTCGAAGTTTAACGCGACGGTCGACCGTTTACGTCGACCGTTCGGGTTTGTAAATCTTATTTTGATATTTTTTTGGGTGTCTAAAATACTTTTTTTAAGTAAGTTTAACACCTATGATTAACATATCTATATATTTGAAGTATTTCTAACAATTATATATCCGTGTATGGGAGAATATCAAGAAATTCATATTTTAGCATCATGAGTTTGATGAGTTTGATCTTAAAACATAGATGACTTATAATATGACAATCAATCCTAACGATATATCTAGATTGATACTCAACCAATGACTGCGTTACTAGGGTGCAATGTACTCGCCTTGATATCGTAGAGGTTGGAAATGATAGAAAGATAATAATACCCCTCAACGAACGTTTAACGTACGGTCACCCCTATCAACTTCGAGGTTCCGACGTCAAACCTTCTGGATAATAACCTTCGGGGGTTCCTAATAACCACGAGAGAGTTGAGGGTAAGCGTTTGGAAAGAAACGATATGAATATGATGAAGAAACTTAGCCAACCCGAGGAGCTCACCACCACTGGCGCAGTCCCCGTATTTTGGCCATATCTCTTTCGTTACTTAACGAAATCACAAACCGTTGGGTTGGATTTGTAACATCCGGGGCTACAATATTGGTATAATAAGCATTTCGAGAAAATGGATAGAAAAGTACAGAATTTACGAAGAAGTTGCTGCTGCGTTTTGGACTCAGGATTTCGGAAACCTTGATACTTCTTCTTGTTTCTCATTCTTCTTTCCTAGATCAACAATGGAGATGGAGTCTTCTTTCTTCTTCCTTGAGGCTGGCCGACAGAGAGAGAGAGAGAGTGAAGAGAGAGTTTGAGAATATTGTGAGGTATAGGTTTGACAAAGTTGGAGAAGTTTGGAGTATTATAGGGAGAAGTTGGAACTATTAGGTTAGTGGGTTTCCTAGGCATGTTCTTAGGGTGGCTAATTGATACACTTAGGGATATGGCTGCGTAATTGAAGAAAATTTGGAGAATTAAAATATTCTCCTACTCCGTAACTGATAAACTGGCTAAAATGCTACGCGCTTTTTCGCCCAAACTGTTCCAAATTGAAAACAGATTGCGTTTTTGGAATATCAGACTGTCAAAAATAAAATTTTGATACAATTAAAATATTTTTTTGAAAACTTTTATTTTTTAGTGTTTGGGTCTGTCTGAGTCATTAATTAATATTTAAATTAATTAATTCTTTTAGGCCTAAATTCGGGGCGTTACAACAGGTGTACCTGATGACAACAAACATACATGAGACCATCTTGATGAGGCATCTAGTAAGACCATGAAGTAACAAAATGGTTCAGAAGGTGGGTCAATAAGACCACAAATGTCTCCTTGAATATGCTGTAAGAATGTTGGACACTCATTGCCAACTTTCATCAGGGATGGCCTTGTAATTAATTTATCTTGTGAACATGCTATACAAAAATGTCATTAGGAAAAGGGATCTTATGGTTCTTTAAAGGATTCCCATTCGCGTGCTCTAGTACACGACGCATCATGGTCGATCCAGGGTGACCAAGTCGATCATGCCAAAGCATAAATTGTTTAGGATCATTGAACTTCTTGTTCACGATAAGATTTGATTCGATGGAACTAATGGTGGTATAATACAATCCAGATGAGAAAACTGGATGTTTTTCTTTTACTTGCTTTTGGCAATGATTTTTATATGTGATACAAAGGTATTCCGTACCTCCTTCATTCATAGTTTCAACATGAAACCCATTAAGTCGCATATCTTTTAAATTTAATAAGTTTCTTTTTTACTTAGAGTAGTATAATGCCTCTTTTTCAATAATATTGGTTCCCCCAGATAAAATTATATTTGCTCTTCCATAGCCCTCAATTAACTCCGTAGGACCAGAAATTGTACTAATATTTGCTTTTGCTAACTGCAGATCTGAAAAATACTTTTGATCTTTAAGAACTGTGTGTGTTGTCCCACTATCAACCAAGCAAACATCTTCATCTTTTAAGTTGTTCATGCCTTTTGTTTTTCCATCTTGATAAAATACATAAATAAAAAAAAGAAAAATAAGAGGTCATGATTTTTTTATTAATAAAACATTATTATTCATGATGACTCAAAACTTGAATTTGGAAATACATATTATTTTGTAACATAAACTAAACTTGACTGAAAAGGACACAAAAACAAGACTTGAAATTGGAAATACATATTATTTTGTAACACAAATTAAACTTGACTCAAAATCACTCATCCTTAATCTTATTTTGGCTAACTAAAGCATCACCACCATAAAATTCAGCCCCATTAATATCACGACTTGGCTCAATCAGAAAATCATCCACATCAAAATGAGTTGCTTCCATCGGCTCAATTGTAGTATCAAAGTCGTTGTCAAAATCAACAAAATTTATCTCCTTTCCTTTTCCCTTTCCTTTGGTAGATGCTAGATAGAGATCAACAAGGTGCTTTGGTGTACAACAAGTACGAGACCAATAACCTTTCACTCCACATCGGTAACAAATTTCATCCCTTTGTTTTGAAGCATCCCCTTTAATGATCTTCCCCTTTTATTGTTTTTGGTCATTATTTTCCCACTTCGAGTGTTTTGGTATATATTTCTTACTAAAAAAATTGTTGTTGAATCCACCCCGACCTCGCCCATAACCACGACCAAAACCACGGCCACAACCGCGACCACAAGCACGCCTTCGTCCACGGAAATTAGCATTTGCTTCTAGGAATGAATTAATTGCATTCGCTACAGGGAATGGTTGAGAGCGAGTAGGGCGAGAGTTATGATTTTCATGAGAAGATCATTATTTTGTTCAGCAACAAGGAGACAAGAGATAAGTTGGTAATACTTAGTAAATCCTTTTTCTCGATACTGCTGCTGCAAGAGCATGTTAGAGGCGTGAAAAGTAGTAAATGTTTTCTCCAACATATCAGCATCAGTGACGGTGTCTCCACACAATCTTAATTGATATACAATCCTAAACATGGCAGAATTATACTCGTTTACCATTTTGAAATCTTGCAACCTCAGTTGCATCCAATCATAACAAGCCTTTAGAAGTATCGCACTTTTTAAATGGTTGTATCTCTCTTCCAAGTCACTCCAAAGAGTCGCAGGGTCTTTGACCCTAGTATATTTGGACTTCAGGCCTTCATGAAGATGATGACATATGAAAATCATTGCCTTTGCTTTTTCTTGTTTGTTAGCCTCACCATTTTCCTTAATAGTATTTCCAAGATTCATTGCATTCAAATGAATCTCAACATCAAGAACCCATGTCAAATAGTTCTTTCTAGAAATGTCAAGGGCACCAAATTCGAGCTTGGGGAGGTTACCCATAACTGAAAATAAATTATAAATTATTATTATTTAGAACCATGTGGACTCGTTGATCCTAACCTTTAGTCATATATTTCATGTTGACATTTTTTTATTTTGCAATTCATTACCAGAATCTACTAGTTGAAAAAAAACAAATGTATATGTAAATTGCACCAGACAAGACAAATTTATTTATCAAATAATTCTAATTGTCCATTTTTTTAAAACACACATATACACATATATCATATTAGTATATTAAGTTTTTTTTATTATTGTGAAAAATAAATAAATTAATGTGTATTGATTGAATAATAGGTTTTTTTATAAATAACGTCTTAGGTACTTGAAGGGTCTCAATTATTATTATTTATTATGCATTATAATTATTATTATTAATATAGCGGAGGTTATAATTAGAGCAAAACTATGGACATAATGATAAATTAGAGCACATTACATAATCACAAATGATAAGTCTATAATATTAACATTATTATTATTATTTCTTTGTTGCATAGTAAATAATAATGTCACCTATATATTCATGTGGCATACTCAAATCTTCAGGTTTGAGTTTCACTGTTAATGCTTCGAGCATATGAAATCAGAATATGAACTTCAAGTTCACTAGCCAAAAGAGAAAAAAACTAAAGAAAAAAAATTATAATATGTACTCAAACTTCAGGTTGAGTTTTATCATATAACCTTCAACTTTAACACATAATGTAGGCTTCACATGCCAATTATCTAATATATTTAGGAGATTTAGATTCAATATATCTACAAGTACACTAAAAAAACTAAAATAAATAAGTCTATATGTATATGTATATATCTATAACATGAATATGAACAAGGACAAGCGATGAAGAGGAGTAATTTCTAAAAAATTAGAATTTTTTGCTATCGTGCTGATAAGGTGTTAGAAATAAAGATAATACGAGTATTGTTATGAACGAATGATAGAGATATACGTTGATAACACAAATGAAAGATCAAAGTGCAATGGAGAATTAAAGGAGAAGAAATGCAATAAGAGACTAAAGAGAAGGATGTTCCATTTCTACATATGGAGCCTCTATATATAGGCTTACAAAGGGGAAAAGCAAAGGACATGGAGAAAATCAAAAGACATTTTTACATAACAATTTTTACACTTAAATGATCATACTTGCATTCTAGGCATTATTTATTAAGTATGTTCATAATGCACACTTTTCATTTTATTTTTGAATATTAATTTTGTGGGTCCAAATTCTCTTTGACAAAGGTTATTAGATACATTCTTAGAGCTTAAAGTGGTTGAAGAGATCAAAAGACATTGATTGGGCTACCCAATTTTTGAAGATGGAAAAGAAGTAGGATGGGCTCAACTTAGATCCATTAGCAAATTTTCATCTTGGCCCTTATTCTTCCCAAAGTCGCAGGCCACTTTTGTTTTTGTCGGATCATCCTCCTCTCAACCGCAAGAAAACCACGCGAAGGAATCAAAAGAAGCTTCTGTTCGACATGAGTTCAAACCCCTTTATTATTTTTCTAGAATATTTTTTTTGATGAATGACAAACTGGATGATTTAATTCAAACGAAAATAGAAAATTTATTTTTCGTATCGAGAAAAGCAAAGAGGCATTTCAAGAAATTAACGGCGATAAAAATTAACGCTCACCCCTATGCAGATTTTTGAAGTGAAGTGAGACTCCGAAGACTTTTTATTTTTTATTGAGTCTAGGATTTTTTGTAAGGATGACAATAATTTCTGCATACATAAATTAATTGTGAGGGATAAAATTTATTATTTTCTGAGTAGTTGAAAAATCATTTTTTCTCTGTCAAAAATAATCTTTTGAGTCAGTTTCAAAATAGCGTGTCAAAATTTCTTAAAATACTTTTTAAGGATACGCAAATTTTTTGTGGTAAGGATACATCTTTTGACACACAATATTTTTGGGACTCAATTTCTGCACCAAAATTCATTATTTAATTCAAATTTTGAATTTGAATTAAATCTTTTCAACCCATTTGATTTGTTTGTTTTTGGGATCCTCATCATCCTAAAAACTTGTCTAAAACAAAGCAATAAGCTCCAAATGTACATTCAACTCGCACACATGCTTTGGGTCCTCTTGTTTGGGCTATTGTCTGTCAGTGGATCGATTGTTTTCAATGGATCGATCACCGCGTGAGTATTCAGGGAGTTGGATTGATCCATTTCTTTAGATCGATCAACTTAAATTTCGGAAATTTCTTTAGAGGATCGGTCATCCTCCTTGGATCGATCCCCCGATACTTTGTGAAAATTTCTTTTTCTGTTTTTGGTTGCAGAGGATCAATCCCTTGCCTTGGATTGATCCCCCGTGGCTTTAACAAAATTATTTTTTCGGAAGTTTACTCCAGGTGATCGATCCTACTTCCAATGGATTTATTTCTTTTACCCCTATAAAAACCTTCATCCTCCTCCATTAAAAACACATATCTTGCACTCCAAAACCTCCATTGATATATATTCAATTCTTGCTTCCATCTTCCTCATCAAATATATTATTTTGAGAGTTAGAAATATTTTTATTGAGTGCTAAAGATTTTGTCATCCATAGAGCTTTCATATTTCAACACTCCTTGCTCAATTGTGTGAGCTTTCATTCTTGTATTTTAAACTCAATCTATTTGAGTGTTGCTAAGACTTGTGTGATTCAAGTCATGCTGTTGTTAAGGCTTGTGTGACTCAAGTCTTGTTGTAAGAAGTTGAGGCTTGTGTAATTCAAGTTCTCGAGTTGTATCGGTTTTTCAAGCACATGTTGAAGCTTGAAGTTTAGTAGAACATTTGAGAGAGTCTCTCGGAGGATTGGATTAGCCACGAGGTGGTGAACCAGTATAAATCACGGTGTACTCCTTTCCCTTGCGCTTTACATTTTTCCTGCAATTTTTCTTTATTATCACACACGTGATTTACGCACATTCTAGCAAACAACTCTAATCACCCCCCCTATAGAGTTGCACTTTTGTCTAACAATTGGTATCGGAGCAGGAAGTTCTTCGAATACTTCTTAATTTTCACGAACTCAAAGATCAATGGCATCTAGAATGTTCAACGCAGGAGTTAGCGAGGGACAATCAACCACGAGGCCACCGTTGTTCGACGAAACCAACTATTCCTAATGGAAGGAAAGGATGAGGATTTTCATCCAATCCAACGACTACAAACTGTGGTTGATAGTCAAGAACGGGTGTGGAGTCCCGATGAAGAAAGTCGGTGAGGTCAACGTCCCCAAAACCGAAGAGGAGTTCACTGACAAAGATTGCAAAAAGATGGAGCTCAATGCAAAGACAATAAACATGATTTATTACGGTGTTAATGCGGATGACTACCGCAAAATCTCGCGGTGTGAAACCGCAAAACAAATGTGGGAAAAATTGGAGGTCACCTACGAAGGAACCGCGCAGGTTCGGGAGCCTAAAATTGACCACCTCACTCACGAGTATGAACTCTTCTCAATGAAGGAAAATGAGAAGATTGAGGAAATGTTTGAGAAGTTCTCTAACATCATAAATCCTCTCAATCTTCTCGGGAAAACATACACCAACCGAGAGCTTGTGAGAAAGGTGCTGCGAAGCCTATCCCCCAAATGGCATTCAAAGGTGGACGCAATCGAAGAAGGTCGTGACTTCCAAACAACGACCTATGATGCTCTTCGAGGTAATCTTATTACCTACGAAACCACCCAACTCTCAAAGGTGGTTGAAGAGAAGAGCAAGTGGTTTATTGCTCTACACTGCAACAACATCAACCCACAACAACGTTGATGATGAAGATGATGACAGCGACAACTCCAACCTCGAACTCTTTGTCCGAAAATTCAAGAAGATGATGCTCAAGAAGGGAGCCAAGGAGAACACTCCACCCAAGTGCTATGGGTGTGGTGAAATTGGATACATCAAACCAATGTGTATGAAGCTCAAGAACGAGAAGGACAAGAGGGCACCGAAGAAGCAACGTGCCTACATTTGTTGGGAGAACGACGGCTCCGGGAGTGAAGACTCGGAAATGGAGGAAGTGGCCAACTTATGTCTCATGGCCATTGAAGATGGAGAAACATTAAAAGAGGTAAGTGATCAAGAACCTTCTCCCAATGATCCTTGAACTCTTAATGATGTAGTTTGTATTGTAAAGGAATTAGTAGGAATGTTCAAAAAGGCTTCCAAAGAAAATAATGAAGTAAAGCAAAAAATCCTGATTTTTGAGAATGATGTCAAAGAACTCAAAAATATAAATGATAAACTTAAACAAGAAATTATCTCTTTTGGAAAAAGGCCACAAGAACCTTCATCTACTTCATCTACTACATGCTCTAGTTGTACATCATTAAAAGCTAAAGTTTCTAGTTTAGAGAACAAATTGGGAAAGTTTAATAATGCTTCAAACACCTTAGATAAAATACTTAGGCAAAAAGTTACTAATTGTGAAGGACTTGGATATAAGAAAAACACACCTAGAAAAACAACTTTTGTTAAGCCTAAAGGAAATAAAATGGCTAGGACTAATAATCAAAATAGAAGAGCACCTCCTAGCAAACCTAGAACGCATTTCACGCAACTGTATAGGATGAACAACCTAGATGTCATTTGTCATTATTGCAACAAGATAGGTCACATTGAGCCCGTGTGCTGCACCAAACTTAGGCATTTCCAACAAACGCACACACATCGCACATATGCTAACCAAAAAGGACGCAACAATACATGTGTACCTAAACCGTCTCCTTGATATCTTTTTGTAGGTGTGCTTGAAGGCTTCGAGTACCTCTTGGTATCTCGATAGCGGATGCTCCAAGCACATGACCGGAGACGCATCCAAATTTAGGAGTTTAGAATATTTCAAAGGTGGCAATGTCATTTTTGGCGACAACAACAAAGGAAGGATCATTGGAAGTGGCACCGTTGGGAGAGACAATGCTACAACCGTTGAGAACGTTCTTCTTGTTGAGGGCCTCAAGCACAATCTTCTTAGCATTAGCCAATTGTGCGATAGAGGTAACCGTGTCATCTTTGATTCTAGTAAATGCATTGTAGAACGCTTGTGTGACAATAAGATTATTCTTTGTGGTAGTAGAGTAGATAACATTTACATGTTTGACCTTGCAAATTCCCTGTCTACCTTAGCTAAGTGCCTCATTACCAAAGAGGAAGAAATGTGGCTATGGCATCGTCGAATAGCTCACGTTAATATGGACCATCTTAATAAGTTGGTTTCTAAAGACTTAGTAATTGGTTTTCCTAAACTTAAGTTTGAGAAGAATCTAATTTGTGATGCATGTCAAAAGGGGAAGCAAGTAAAGGCCTCGTTTAAGTCAAAGAACGTTGTTTCTATGACTAGGCCATTACAACTTTTGCACATGGACATTTTTGGACCTTCAAGAACTATGAGTTTAGGAGGTAATTACTTTGGATTTGTTATCATTGATGACTATTGGAGATTTACATGGACACTCTTTCTAGCTCATAAGTATGATGCACTTAATGCTTTTAAGAAATTCATTAAATTGGTTCAAAATGAAAAAGATTCTCACATTGCATCCATTAGAAGTGATCATGGGGGAGAATTTGATCAAGACGGCTTTGATGTCGTTTGTGACGAATTAGGCATTGAGCATAATTTCTCAGCCCCCCGTACACCACAACAAAATGTCGTAGTTGAATGGAAAAATAGGTATCTTGAAGAGATGGCTAGAACTATGCTCAATGAGGCAAACCTTCCTAAATATTTTTAGGCGGATGCCGTGAGTACCGCGTGCTACGTGTTAGATTGAGCCATCATTAGACCGATACTCAAGAAAATGCCCTATGAACTTTACATAGGAAGAAAGCCTAACATTTCCTATTTTTATGTCTTTGGATGTAAAGTTTTTATTCACAATAATGGTAAAGATAACTTGGAAAAATTCGATGCTAAGTCAGATGAAGGAATTTTCTTAGGTTATTCTCTTCGTAGTAAGGCATATAGAGTGTTCAACAAGCATACTAAGACAAGCGAATGTATATAGATTTATAATTGAGCTTTGTTATGAACTAGAAGAAATAGTCTAAAATCAAATCTAAAATGTTAACGTTCACAAACATGAAATTTGAGCCAAATAAAAATTTAAAATCTAAATTCAAGTTTCCAAACATGTCAAAGTTTAGTATTATTCGATCGAGGATTATTGTTGAAGTTTAAAAAAAAATAATTTCCGACAGTTTATGTTTCCCTATGACTATTAATGAAAGTCAAAGCCAAACATTCTCATTTGTTAGATAATTTATTAACAATTCGATATTCATTCATGGTAAAATTTATGAAGAAAAGACTAAAATAGGAGTAGAATAATAAAAATATACCAAAATAGGAGTTCTATGTTTTTATTTCCAAAATATCATTTAAAATACATTCATAGTGTCAATCGTGACCATATATGTAACGCCCCAAAACATACCCTAAAATTTTTAATAGATAATTATTCAATTAATCAAATTTGTTTTGATTAAAATAAATTGTAACACCCCGGTTTGCATAACCCGGTTCACGCGGGTTAGCGGACCAAAGCGCTAGCAATTTGGTAAAGTAACAATCCATAATCTTTTAGAAATAATAGTAACAGTAATAAAAAAACATTTAAAACATAGATTCCTCAAAATATTATAATTTTCGGAGTAATTTAATTTAATCGTTGCGGAAGCAAAACAAGATTCAACATATTTACATATATGGGTCCAAGTCCCAAAATACTTTACATTATTAAAAACAGTTCCCGCATCCTTCTACCAACTCTCCTTATTACATATATTCACAGTCACACAATAAAGAAAACTGTGCGCTCAGCGAAACCGCTGAGTGGTACCATAACGTAGATTTCATAGAATAATTCATAAAACACATTCACATATATACATGGGAATCAATACCCTTTTTAAATCCTTTTATTTAAGAAAATCCTCTTTATTTATTATTTTGTGAAACCTTTAATTATAAAATTCTGACATTCTTCATTTTATGACAAGGTGTAGAAACATCTCTTCGTTTAATAATACGTATCCAAAGTACTCATTAAAAACAAGGGTATTATTTCCAAATACACTTTATTCCGCAATTGACAAACTGTTATTTTTCCATCATTTCATATAGAAACAAATCCATATCTAATAATAACCCAATATCCTTAATTTAACCAATCACTATACAATAATAGTGACATCCCTTATTTTCAACCATTATTATTTTATCCTCACGCCATACTGAGTCGTTTTCCATAGAGGTAGACTCGATAAAACTTCCCCTGTCTGAGTCTGGGTCCGAGTGCCCTTCTCTTCAGGTTCAGAATTTGTTCCGTGGCCTTTCACAGTCTGGGTATAAATACTCTTCTGGTTCCGGACACACGGGTTGAGTGATCCCCGGGCGCCTGACCGGTTCTAGGACCTTATGTACGTACATACTCAACTCCTAATATCGCCCACATCTATACACTCAAATCCATACTATTTACCACTAGAAATAATCTAGATTTAAACTAACCAAAAATACCTTTTTGGTTATTAACGTCGCCATCAAAATCATCACTTTTACAAATTTGAGTATATAAAGTGTTACCATAAAGTCTCCAACACAATATCATCCAAAATATCTCTTTTAATCATTATAAATCATTCAATCATGTTCATGGATTGGATCATGTGAGGAACTCAAGTTTAAACCACATAATATAGTATTCTAATTCTTCTAGTCCAACCCGTTCGATAATGTCGTTTGGTTGATAACACTTATTAGAAAAACATGATTTGACATGGAGTTCTTATAGTCCATAACATTCATTTTTAGTATTTTTAGAAGTTAAAATATGGTTATAAGTAAATCAAACCAATACCAAACTTTTATCATCCATACAATATTGAAAACGGCTTAAATTTGAGTTGGAACGTCAGGTGATCGATCTCCGAAGGGGTGATCGAATCAATTCTTGCTATTAGATTTATTCTAGTTAAAAACATCCATTTTTAGTGTTTTTTGGAAGTTAAAATATGGTTATAAATCAATCAAACAAATACCAAATATTTATCATCCATACGACATCGAAAAACGGTTCAAATTCGAGTTGAAACGTCGTGTGATCGATCCTAGAAGGGGTGATCGATCCCCCAAATCTTAAAAATCTGCGTTTTAGTAAAGTTTACCCCAGAGGATCGATCCAAAGGCTTGGATCGATCCCCCGAGCCTTAAAAACGGGTTCTGGGGCTCTTTTCCATCGTCGGGTGATCGATCCAGCTCCGGGGATCGATCCACTAACGATTCCTATGCGTTTTTGGGTTCGTTTTAAACTACGAAATGGTTCCACAAGTCTATATATTGAATACATATATTCTAATTTGAACCTCTAAGTTGTGTAGGAACATTTTAGGCACAATTTCGGGCATTCTCCGTCATCGACGATTCATGGGTATCAAGTTGAGCGTTTTATCGAGACTATCGAAATGACTAACATAAAATGATATATAGGTATATGAAATCATGTATTATGAATGATTATAAGGAATCTAACATCGGAACGATTATGGGATACAGACCTTAGAGTTCGTAGGGGAAACAATGATCCTACACCTCACGTACGTTCAACGAACGGCCGTCACTATCTACTTCTAGCTTTCCTTGTCTTGAGGTCTTCTCTTCGAACCTTTATATTACAGAGGTGTATGGCGTGAGAAGAGCGTTAAAATGAGTATAATAACGATTAGAATATAACATACTCACTTACCTAGAGTTTTCTTCCCAAAACTCCATTAATTGAGGAAACGTAAGTAAAGACCCAAATCAATAATAAATGAAGAAACTACTTATGATGTGAACTTTGAAATGGTTTATTGAAATAAATCATGAGATAGACAATATGAATTAAATGTGAAAACCTTTTTGTGAGTAATGTGAAACTAACCAATTTTGACTCTGTCAAAGTCAAACACCCAAAATATGATGTCAGAAAAAAGTATAATGAATAAATATAAAAATTATATCGTTGGATAGAAATTAATTATCCGATTGCAACGGTGCAAACGGAATTTGATTCGGAGAAAGTTGGACCAAAAAGTGTACCCTGACTGGAACCAAATTAGTCCCAATCAGGGAAGTAACGTGCTGAATCACCTAAAAATCACATCTCTGCCGAATTAAAAATGTGAATTGGGAATCCTACGTAGCAGCAGCTCATCTTCCCTGTCTTCTTCTCTTCTCCTCTTCTATATAAAGAACCCAATTCTCCTATTTCTTCACCATTCTCTCTATTTCTTCTTCCGTTTCGTCCCTGAGAGTGTGGAGAGTAGAGTGGTGCTGTCCAGAGAGTTGGAGGTCGCCAGATCTCCACAAACCTCGCCGGAAATTTTGCTGGAAAATCGTCAAAACCTCCATTACGATTCGAGGTAAGCCCATAGATATATCTAATGACTAGAATGTTCATATAGGGCGTTTCTACGTTCATAAATGGTCATTTGGTTGAGTTTTGTGTTTGACATGTTTGAAGAACTAAGAATCATAAACCTTGAATTTGATGTTAAAAATATGAATTAATGATGCCAAAATAAACTATGAACCTTGGAGAACATCTCTATATAGTTTCGTTGAAGTCCGGTGACTAAAAATGGTATTTCTAAAAAAATGGACCGAAGGTTGAAGAAGATGAACAGTGACCCAAAACTCACTGCCTGGATCGATCCACTAGGAGTGTTTCTTCTAGTTTGGATCGATCCAGTCCTCTGGATCGATCCCCCGATATTCTGATACGAAAATTTGTCCGAAAATGATATTTTTGAGCTCTAAAATCCTTTTTTTGATACCAATTGATTATGATCATTACAAAAATGATTTTTCACAATAAAAATGATGTTTTTAAAAATGTTATGTGATGCATGAAGGTAAGTTCCAATGTTAACACTCGAGATTAGGCTGCTATTTGCTATCAAATGTTATGTTGATTGATCATTATGATGATTAAATATTATGGATAATTATGAATGGTAAACCTACTGATTAGAATGACTATTGTTGATTAAATCATGATTAAAAAATGAATATATTGGTGGTCAAGAAAATGGTGTATATTGTTAAGGATATCTAGAAGAACTCCAAGATATACATTCTTGACCAATTCATAATTCAGGGTTAAAATGTACGTATGGGATCCAGAACGGATATCATCCACCCGACAGATCACTGTTCGGTTGGTACGTAATCCACACGACTCATAGGGTGGATTATCGATTCTTGTGTTCTACCTTAGACTATTTATAGTTTAAGAGCCTAATGAGAAATATTACCTTATACTAGGAATATCTAAGAGCTTGTTATGAAATGATTTGGCCTTAGATTAAGAATAATTTAAGAGCACTATTGAGATATTGGATAATGTATTTATCATGAAATGACTTGGAATAAAATATTGAGAATATCATGAATGTTTGAATAATATATTGTGTGCATGATATCAAATTATTGATTATGAATTGAAATTCAATTTATGTGGATGTTCGATGCTTTAGATATGCTTACTTAGCTTCACCACTGAGTGTGTAATGTTTTTATTTGCTACACGTAGGTTAATAGAAAGAATGATGTGACATAATCATGGAGGCAGACGGAGGCGAGATAGTCAAGATGGACGTGACAAATTTTGAATCAATTTATTGTGATATGACAACATTTAAATTAGCTTCCACAATATTGTTAAATACTCCTTATTGTTTATGTTATGAAAATTATTATTCTAATAAATAAAAGTGTTTGAAAAGTTTTAAATTTTTACGATTACCAAGTTAATACTTTAGTCCAAAAGGGGCTGCAGACCTGGACGAATTAGGGTGTTACAATTTGGTATCAGAGCAAATGGTTTTAAACCCGATCTTCAGATCAAAATTTGGATATATATATATATATATATATATATATATATATATATATATATATATATATATATATATATATATATATATATATATATATATATATATATATATATATATATATATATATATATATATATATATATATATATATATATATATATATATATATATATATACACATACTAGCTAGGCACACACTTTGTGTGTGAGTGCCCAATTTATTTGTAGGAATAAAGAAGAATTAGTGTGAGTGCCCAAATTCTTGAGTGGAATTTGTTGTACATCAATACTGTGGAATTTGTTGCAAATTATTACTGTCAAAATGTGGAAGAAAAGCATTGTTCCTAGACCTCTTCCTTCTATAAGGAAACTGCAAGAGGAGGCAGATGCAAAAATTGAAGGATTTGGAAATATCACTAAATTATAGAACCATTTTTCATGTCAAATTTATTGCATTTCCTAGTCTTAAGTACAGGTTATTAAGCAGCCCAAAAATTGCACATGAAGTCTTTACTTGCATCATACCAATCCACATGACCAGAAGTTCTTTTCCCTGAATTCGTGTTCATACATGGCTAATAACTGACTGCTTCACACAACTACGACAAAATGTGCACAGTAATAAATGTGCAAATAATACTATGAATAGGGCTTGTCGCCAGAAGTAAGCATAAGTCTCTTGCGAGTTGCTCATGGCAGCATTTATCACAAAAGAAGATTGAATATACTGCCTATATCATACCCATATTATATTATCACAAAGATAGGGAGTGTTTTACAAAAATTGAAGTGCTCACCCACACTTCATTTATGATATTTGGGTAACTTTAGAGTTCTAACATAGGGATTGTTTTACAAAATTTGAAGTGACCACTTGCACTTCATCATTTCTACTATGTAATAAACTGACATAAGGCCTCCTATTGAGTTGGGATAGTTATATTTTACACGAACAGTAGGAATAGAGATTAGGGTCCAAAACGTTTTCAAGGTCCGTAAACATTAGCTAGGTTTTTTTTTGTGTTCGTCCTCTTCAACTTTCATCTTTCTCTTAAGACTTGGTGCGCTGCTTTGCTTCGGAGTGAGAGTGTATAGGGTTTGTAGTGAGTACGTGTTTGATGTATTTGTTTCGCATGTGCCTGAACTTGGTTTGATTGCAGCAATGACAGTGAGTGATAGAAGCGCCTTGTTTAGATTCACAGAGTTGATCGTTTCCAATGGTGAATTCCACTCAAGTGTCTTTAGTATTTTCTGGAGCTCCTTGGTGAAGAGGGTCACGTGTATAGCATGGCTGCCATCATGTATTTCAGCTGTCACTCTGAATCTGCGTTGATTCGAGTGCCTTTTCGATTTCTATCCCCTGAGTGGTTGCGAATTCCTCCCACAATGTTAGAGAGATTGGCTTGCATCTGCATGATAACGAAAATGTCAACGAGGTGTGATGGCATAAAGAATGTTTGTTGAAGTTAAATTTTTTAGACATATGTCAAAGAGGAAAAGAGTTTAACCTAGGATGTGTTATAAGAAGTACGCAATTTATTTAGTTATATAACCCACATAATTAATAACCCACATAGGTTGTTACATCCACGAGTATATGTAGAGTAACCGAAATGAATGCAGATTTACAAATTTTAAACCGTAATGTATTCTCTGGCTACGTACTAACTTACCGTTGTGAATTTTTTTTTGTGTGGGTGACTGAGGCCTTGTCCTTCCAGTATGTGTGGCATAGACAGTATTTGTTATATGAGTATGAATGAATTCATTAGTGAGGAGAAATTTACAAATAAGCATGCCAAAGTGTATTTTAAATTTGACCAGGCAGTCGTGCATTAGGTCAAATAAACAAGAAACTGAGTACACCGATGTTTATAACTCAATTTGCCTAAGAGGATGATTGTGGTACTCTGTTCTCGTTATGGTACTCGAATTGCTTTTTCTATAAATGTCAGAAAGCTAAGTCATATAAGTCATACAAGTAAAGATATCTATTCCTTTGCTCAGAAAAAGAAAAAACGTGAACTGGGAGTGGATTGATGATCAAATTGAATCCTGGGTCGCGAACACTAATTCGATTCATGAGGAAGAAAGCAAATTTTTGGTTCAGCTAGCCTCATTAACCATAGAAAAAAGCGTTCTATTGAGTCTGACTCATAGTGATCATTTATCAAAGAATGACGCTGGTTATCAAATCCTTGAACAACCGGGAGCACGTTACTTATGAGACAGTTCATCCAACGATAGAAGTTTAAATAAATTGAATCCAAATTATAGAGCTACGACACAACAATCAAACCCAAATGAACAAACTGTGGAATTAAATCGTACCAGTCTATACTGGGGGTTACTACTGATTTTTGTACTTGCTGTTTTATTCTCAAATTATTTTTTCAATTAAGAATAATGAGATGATAGGCATTCCATTAGCGCAGGTAGTGTAATAGAGGAAATGTGTTAATACTTACTCATATCTTTTTTACTCCACATGGATTTGTAGAACATTGAGAATGGTTCAATATCAGCATTTGCAGTTGGCTGAGGTACGAGTTTATCATCGGGACTGACGTCATGAATCATTGTTCTTCTATTCAATGTCCAAATGAACCTATAAGTTTCATCAGGGACGGCAAACCCATGCGTTGCTTCCGTAACCCTTGCATCATATACCTTATATGTGCCATTCAGCTGGATGCGTTTGTCGATTATGGCGATATCTTGTCCATAAGTCATTGCTTTGACCTTGTGTCCCTATAAATGAATAAGATTTTAGAGGTTTGACATTAAGAGTTTATTAGAGAAGAAGTTTGTAGTAGTGTGGTTCAAGAATTTTACAGCATTGTCTTGCAAGATTATTGGTTTATATGTTAGTCCAGGTTTTTTGAATGATTCGCGTTCGTTCAACTTCTCAACCACCAGAACTTTGCAGCTCCAAGACCTGGAATTTGGTTTTATGTCTATGATTTGTTCTTCGGTATCCATTTTCCTGAAAATTTAAAGTCAGAAAAATGAGAACATAGAATATAGGCTTGTAGTTCAGAATTTAATAATTAATAAGTAATGCATGAAGATAATAATATTGAAGTTAAAAGGTAATGTCACAGTTTCAAAGTAAACTATCAATATCTGATTGCTTAAATAGACAGTGTACGCTAAAATGGACAGTATTTTTTTTAATTTTAGAGTTGCTAAAATGGATAGGAAGCGTGGGTGGAACAACCCGTCATTGCTTTTAAATCATCAATTTCCTTGGCGATAGCAAAAGCAAACACAAAGAAAAGGGAATCAAACATAGGCATATAGATGGAAAAAACTGACCTATTTTTTTACTATGCTAAAAGCAGACACAAAGAAAAGGGTTTCAAACATAGGCATATAGATGGAAAAAACTGACCTATTTTTTAACTATGCAAGGTATTCCAAGATTTCTTTGTACACAATATTTGCTGTGACATTTGTGGTCTTGGAAATGTGATTGTCATTGTGAATAAGTATCTTCATGGATGCTGCAGTTTTCGCACGGGACATCGCAACGTACAACTGGCCATGAGAGAAAACTGGTTGTCTAAGATAGATTCCAGCGAAGTCGAGGGTCTGCCCTTGTGATTTGTTGATTGTCATTGCAAAGCATAGCTTAATTGGAAATTGAGTTCTCTTGAACGGAATTGTACACTTTTCGTCTTTAGAGATTTCAAGTGGTATTCTTGGTATGAATACATGTTTGCCCTTATAGTCACCAAATGCTATAGAACAACTTATGAGATTATCATGAAAAGTATCACATATTAAGCGGGTTCCGTTACATAAGCCCTCAGCAGGATTCAGGTTTCGAAGTAGGATGATTGGGCAATTTTTTTTTTTAAAACTAAGGTGTGAGGAGGCAAACCTGCAAAGGACAATGTGTGTAAGAAGTCTTGGCAATTTTTGTACTTAGGATCGAGCGCTTCATCATAGCTTAGCAGCGTTTTTGATTGTCCAGGGAATGTACTAATGAGGATTGCGTTTATTTGATCTACGTACTCATTTGTGGTGGTTAGAATTATTCTACCCATCAATGTGTATGGATCTCGTTGAAAAAGACTCAGGTCTGGGTAAACTGCTGCTATCAGTGACGACAATGGGTTTGAGGCATGACCGACATGAATAAGGAAATGTTCTGGAATTTCAATGTTTGTACCATCAAGAGTCGGTGTTGTTCCATTTCCTATCGTCATTAGATATTCGCAAAAAAACGGATCAGCTTGAGCTCGTATATTCTGTACTAAAATGAGACGCTTCAATTTTGCCCAAATATAGGAGGATTTAACAATGCATGCATTAATAGAGTCTTGTTTGTTTCCATGCCTAACAACATGGAGAGTTTGGCGTAAATCTCCACCGAAAACAATAATTTTTCCTCCAAATACTTCGTCCGAGCACATAATATCTTTGAGACTTGTATTCAATGCTTCGATAATACCTCGGTTAGCCATTGTAACCTCATCCCATATAATAATGCGTGCCTCTCTTAGTAATGTAGCTGTAGCACTTTGCTTACCTATGTTACAAGTGTTTCTGTCGTTTCCATCGAGCGGCAATTTAAATCTAGAATGTGCAGTGCGACCCCCTGGAAGAATTGAAGCGGCAATACCTGATGTTGCAGTAGCCAAAGCTATCCATTTTTTGCTCCGAACTGTTGCTAACAAAGCTCTGTATAGAAATGTTTTTCCTGTACCACCAGGACCATTTACGAAGAAAACTGCGCTTTTGTTTAAAAATACGCTTTGCATAATGGAGTCAAAAGCAGTTTTTTGTTCTTTGTTGAGAAGGTGAGCGCACTGAAGGTCCTGTTCTATGTTACGCTCTGAGCTCAATTCGCGTGCCTGAAATTCAGTGGTACTTAAAGACATGGTAGAGTCGATTAAATTGAATGTAGCAATGTTCTTTCCAAGACTTTCAGTTATGTCTCCAATAAGTTTGAGTACTATCATTTCCATTTCTATTGGAGTGTATAATCCTGTCTGAGAGAAGTCTTCATATAAGTGAAGTTTGTATTTAGACCATAGTTCTCTTGGATTAGGAACTTCGCAAAAGACCAATAACGAAGCAAACAATCTCCTCAAGCTACTGGGCATTTGATATGTGATTGCCTCTTCAAGACAGATATCAATTGTAGCATTTTCTGTTAAAAGTCCCATTCTTTCAGCACTCTCTCGAAATGTGGAAAACATGTGACCATCGACGAGTCTCAAACTGTTAAATGACGTTGGAGCTTTGACGTGTTGGAGCAAGATGCGGAGGTAGTATCTCTCTTCTTCTGTTGGATTTACGCTGACAAGTCGTCCGATAACAGTTCTACGTTTACGTAGCGTCCATATTTTGTTTGTGTCTGACCAAACAAAATATTCAGGGAATTGTATGTAAAGTAATTGAAGTCCTTTCGCAACGATGTCACATGTGTTCATTTCAAAGAACTTAGTCAGCATTGTGCTCGACTTATTATCGTCTTTAACAATCTTCGTGATTCTTTGGTTTCCAAAGAAGTTGATATACTGGAAGTTTTCTAAATGCACCTGTAATTGCAAAACTGGGGGATGCATTTCGGCAATTGGAAAAGCAAATATTCTCCACGCTGCCTCTGGTGCAGAAACCCATCTTGCATTCTGAAAGTCTGCTATCTCGTCATGTTCAGAAGTGGTTTTATCGGTGGAGATTCCTACAGAAATTCTGTCATGCCCTTTGTAAACATACTTATATATGTATTTAACAGATCTGACCGACGCACAAATTTCAACATTAATGTGGCAGTCATATTTTAATAAGAGCTGTGGGGGTTGTAGGGTACTACCCAGGAGTTATCAAGTGCACAGTCCCTTATTTCTACAGTGTTTCTGTGGTTCCTTCTGCGGTAAATAGGAAAGGAATCTTCTCCAAATGATGTTTCATCAGTCAAAGATCTTGGGTACTTGCTTCTACAAGAGGCGGCGGACTGTCCGTTTTTTTTTGTCATGCACGGACAACTTCGGTTAAGAGCGCCGCAAGGACCATGTATCATATGTTTTTTGACAAGTGCGTATAGGCGTGGTTGGTGTATTGGATCAGGTATTTCCGCAGAAACAAATTTGTCGCAGAGAAGGGAATTCTGTATTTTTGCTCCGACCTTAAGGATTATAAGGAAATGTGCATGAGGAAGCCCGCGCTTTTGAAATTCTATAACATATATATATGCTGCAACTTGACCAAAGAAACTCTTTTTGATGATATCATTCTTGAATTCCTGTAGTCGTGCATGAAAAGCCCTACACACAAGATCTGGTCGATTCTGTGCCTCATCTCGGTGGTGAAGGTGCTCTTTGATTTCAGGCCAATTTGGATTACATGTCATCGTTACAAAGAGATCTGGTTTGCCATATTGTTGAACAATTGTGATCGCATCAAGATAACGTTTACGCATATCTCGAGGACCGCCTATGAATGACGCTGGTAGAATGACACGTTGGCCAACATCGTCACCGTATACCATGCCTGTATACATGCTATCCACAACACCTTGATACGTTTCAGATCTGAGATCAAGTTGTTTAAGTCTATAATAATCCAAATGTTGTGTTTCAATTTTGACATAGACATCAACAATAAATTGTTGTAGCAACCTTCCTGTATGTAACAAATAGCTGTTGTCATCCTGGCGTATTTGGAGCTTATAAGCATAATATTCCCTACAGGAAACCGTTTTTCTCTTCCTTCCTGTTTGAATATTGTTTTCTTCAATCCGAATTACATCATCAGCAGTGTGTGCAAGGTTAACATCCGACATCAGACAAGGTATCTGTTTGGTTTTTGCTAAATGACGTTGCACTTCTGACAATACCCTATCAATCCCGGTATGCCAACCTACCTCCCTATGAGCAAACAATAATGGATATTGTAAAGGATCGTAACATCCGTAGAAGTATTGTATGTTCTTTGATTTTCCAGTATGACCATAAACACGAATGTGTTTGGACTCCTGAGTTCCGTTGTTCCTATCTTCTACCCATATTGCAGCAATTTGTGACGTAGTAAGAGTATTATAGACTCGTTGATCTAAGCCTGGATGGTTGTGTAGTTGTATACTAAACTTCGCATCGTTACATACATCTTTGAGACTCTTAAAAAATTGAGCGTATGGATTATCTGAGATCAATTCAACAAGAGCTGATACTATCTCTTTATCCAACCTATCTGTTGTACAGGCTGGTGGTTCGGGTTCAAAGATACGGTCTTTCCTTGTTGCATATCAATTTAAAAGTTTCCTAGCTTAGTGAGTCATATTCCAAATTTTCAATTCTTCACATACTAATAAGTAATAACAGAAGTGCAGTTGTAAGCTTCTGCATCACTACTTTGGGGATATATATATATACAGTAGAACAACAAATTGTTGCCTTTTTCATTTTCTTTTCATTTCCCATTCAAATTGATTGAACCAAACATAGTGTAAACGATTTGCTTGAGAAATGACTTTAAAAAAAAATAATCATATACCTATACATATATACAAGGTAGAAAAGTCAAATGAATTTATAATCATCAAAAACACAGTGTGTAGTGTCTCAATTTTAAAAAAATATAAAGGAACAAATAAGGGAACAAATAAGGGAACAAATAAGTCATCAAAGGTACAGAAGTTAAGCTTCAGACCTGACAGAATAAGGGAACAAATAAAACCATTATTTAATATGTTTTCTTCAACCAAAAAATCAGATGGGAATAAATTCAAGAATGCCCAGGGGGCCAGTATTTTTTCGAAATAAAATTTGAACAAAATTGCTCCAGTGCTTCATCAACACAATTACCCAAAATCAAGTGAAAAGAAAAAAGATTGTTAGTTACGAAAGCTAAATTGAACAAAATTGATGCAGAGCTTAAGCAACGCAATTACCCAAAATCAAGTGAAAAGAAAAAAAATTAAAATTTGCAAGTATTGGAAGCCCCAGTGGAGAAGAAGATAATAAAAATCTGTCTTCAATTTTTTTTCTTTAAAACAGAGAAATGGAAAGGGGGTATAAACTTCTCTGTATCCATTTGGAAAATTTCTTCACTCCATCCTCGTTCGTGGTTTCATCGATTATTCCATTGTTGAATTTCCTAACTTTTGCTAATGCAATTTCATAGCTGCGTTTCTGAAAATACTCTTATTAAGATGTATCAAGAAAGAGTGAAATACCTGGTAAAGAACCACCGTGCACCGGGAAGAAGAAATTGTATGGATATAATAAAATTGGAATACTCCGCTGTCCGCTGTGAAGAAGAAGTCGTGGGGCGGTGGGCGGCAAAGATAGCCGATCGGATTCATCGGTCGTGCACAGAGACGGAATTAGAATTATCCGCTGTCCGCTGTGAAGAAGAAGTCGTGGGGCGGTGGGCGGCAAAGTTAGCGAATTGGATTCCTCGGTCGTGCACAGAGACGGAAGGAGATGGCAATGAATAGTGGATCCGTAAGAAAAGAAACGGAAAAACGTCGAAGATAACTCCCTTAGACGCTCATAATATTAGGGAGATATATATATATATATATATATATATATATATATATATATATATATATATATATATATATATATATATGTTGTACCCAAACTTAGGATAGATAAACAGAACAGATTCACTTCAAGGTTCAGAGCTAAGGAATAATCGATTAACACAATTGATAAATCGATTAATAGGGATTAGCTCAACTGGAATTGTTCAGAGGAACCAGATAATCGATTGACACTACAAGACAATCGATTGTGTGATGTTGCAGATTTTGAAGAAGAATCAGAAGGCTTCAATAGTCGATTATCAA